TTCGGACAGGCCACAGAGAGGCCGCAACAGGCCTGCCAGCTGCCGAGAGAGGAGGCAGGCCTTGGACAGGCCACAGAGAGGCCGCAGCAGGCCTGCCAGCTGGCGAGGCCTCGGACAGGCCTTTGGAAGTGCTTGGAAGGGTTCTGCTAGGCTTGGCCAACTGCTTCACCCTGCGGTGTCCCAGGCGCCTCCCCGCCTAGGCTTTGGCTATAGGCCGGGGTCGGCGGATATCTCACCGATTAAGCTGCTTTAAAGTCTTCCTGACAGCCATTCGGAACTGTTGTCCCTGAATCAACTTCATGTCCCCAGGCAGCTGCACGTGGAATGTTTGCGAGAAAGCGAGTTGGGCGAATATGGAAATGTGCCAGGCAGCGGTACAAAATACAACGTGACAGAAAAGGTTGTCACGGTTTTCTCCCACCGGAATTTTGCCCTTGTTGAGTTTGTTGCTAGGATTGCCCAGAAGCTGGCGCGTGGATATCTTGTCCGGCAAAAGCTCCGAAAGCAGACACAGGCAAGCCTGCAGTGTTTTGCTGCTTTGCTTTGTCTCATTTCTTTGCTGATCCTTCCTGCAAAATTAGATATTTCAGGGTACATTGGATTGAAATCCGGCGGTTTACTTTCTGCATACATGACACAATGACTTTCTTGAGGAGGTCATGCGATTTCCAGTTTGATGCTACGTTGTTTCAGTTCAATTTCGTTTGACACATCCTCAAAATCACACACAATTCAGGCCTCAGTGGCACCAAACACAGGATCTTATATAAAGCCATGTCAGCCAAGAGCACAGTATAACCTAAGCCCAAACCAACATATGTTTCGATTTTGGAGTTAAGAGCAGTGCAACAAACTACAACAAACAAAATGTGTTTGCAGCTCAGGCTGTGGTGCGATGTCAGGCTTTGGTGCGAGGACATTTGTCGCGCACACACAGGAGGAGATGTTGCTGTGACATTTGCAAGGAAACAAATTGAACACACTTTTAACATGTTCAGCATTGAGCGATGATGCCCTCTTGAGCTATGTTGCCCTTCGGTGAGGAGACAAGTTGCGGCAGCTCTAAAAATCCAGGCAAGGGTGATTCCAAATATCTCACCGATTAAGCTGCTTTAAAGTCTTCCTGACAGCCAATTGGAACTGTTGTCCCTGAATCAACTTCACGTCCCCAGGCAGCTGCACGTGGAATGTTTGCGAGAAAGCGAGTTGGGCGAATATGGAAATGTGCCAGGCAGCGGTACAAAATACAAAGTGACAGAAAAGGTTGTCACGGTTTTCTCCCACCGGAATTTTGCCCTTGTTGAGTTTGTTGCTAGGATTGCCCAGAAGCTGGTGCGTGGATATCTTGTCCGGCAAAAGCTCCGAAAGCAGAAAGAGGCTGAGGCAAGCATGGATGGGCCAGTCTGCAAAATACACTTCGGTACCTATAAAAGTGCATCCCCTACCTGGATCAAGTAGTCCTCGGAAATGGCAAATAGCCGAAGGGCTGAGGCATTGCGGCAAGCTGTTCCAAAACTCATACAGCGAACGTGCTTGGTGTCGAGGGATTCCGGCAGACCTCCTGTGCTTGGAGCAACCACAATGGTGCGTTCCAAACTTCTCCCTGTGTGGAACTTGTTTGTTCGGTTACTGAACACATACACTGCCCCCCGCTTCGCCAGAATCTGATGTGGCCTGCCCATCTTGGTGAGGTCACCCTGTGTGAGTGAACCGCAAGGGTAGCTGGCTGGCGGTGTGTAGAACCAATATGCACGGACACCATTGGTGATAAACAATAATACAGGTTCCCCGGAGCCTCTCCCAGCCTCTCCGAGCTTCTATTTTTATCAATAAGCATAGACCTGCTTCTCGTTTCATTCCTGGTTACTCGTAGCTGACGATTCTTTCCACCTTTGGTTGCTTCTTTCGGCGTGAAGATCAGCTTGCCGAGGCGCTCGAGAAAGCCGCGGATGTGTCGATAAGATGCCAAGCAACGGAGGCGCGGCGCGTGGCTCGGTCGGGCGATCGGTGAAGAGCTCGCCGCACGTAGCTCGGTGAGAGCCTAAGAGCTCAGGCAATCGATGCCAGAGATGTCGCGATCACGAAGCCAAAAGAGGACGAGGTTCGGCTGGTAGCAAGCTGCACTTGAAACGCTTGTCAAAGGGGTTGAGGACTAACTCCATCATTTATCACTCCAGCAGCGTTGACAGTTTCAGGAATCAGTTGCCACGGATGGCTGGGAACCCGAGTGATGGTGGCTCGACAACACGGGAGGGACAAAAAAGGCCCTTGCCTGCTGAGGTCCAATCTCTCG